ACCGTAGTTCTTGTCATTATCATTTTATTCCCGGTGAAAACACTACATTATTAAATGAATATGGTTATTTTTATACATTTAGAAATAAAATAGTTTGAGAAAAATGAGGTATTATTATTATAGGCTAAGTAGGTACTTACTTTCCAATTCAAATTTTTACCATGCACTAATTAAATCCTTCTAAAATCATTGAACCATAAGATCTGTAACTACTATCTTAATTTCAAAATCTAGCTAAAAATCTAATAAATATTTTTTTTTTAGGCTCATAATAAAGAATGAATATTTAAAGAATGGAATTAAAATGGAAATAGAAGAATCAGATATTGAACTAATAGGCACTGAAGGAATATTCATAAAGCAAGAAGATAATTTGAGTGACCCTAATTCATCAAGACAAGATGTTATTAAGAAATTTCAATGTTATACTTGCAATGCTATGCTTAAAAACAAATCAATGTTGGAAAATCATTTAATAGCACATTCGGATATTCGTCCTTTTGAATGTGACACTTGCAAAGCAAAATTTAAACGAAAAAGTCATTTGAAAAGGCATATATCAACACACTCTGATATTTATCCTTTTAAATGTGATGCTTGCGGAGCAAAATTTAGACAGAAACACCTGTTGAAGAGTCACATAACAACACACTGGAATATTTCCCCTTTTGAATGTGATACTTGCAAAGCAAAATTTAAACGTAAATCTTACTTAAAGCGTCACATTATAATATCACACTTGGATATTAATCATTTTGAATGTAAAACTTGCAAAGCAGAATTTAAAGAAAAACGCTGTTTGAAGAGTCACCAACTAATACACTCGGATATTTATCCTTTTGAATGTAATACTTGTGGAGCAAAATTTAAACGTAAAAGTAATTTGAAAGCGCACATTCCAACACACTTAGATATTTATCCGTTTGAATGTAACACCTGCGGAGCAAAATTTAATCTAAAAAATAATTTGAAATGTCATATGTTAACACACTCGGATATTTATCCCTTTAAATGTGACACTTGCAAAGCAAAATTTAAACGAAAATGGTATTTGAACACACACATGTTAACACATTCGAATGAGAAGAATTTTAAATGCAACATATGCGAGGCTAAATTAAAAACAAAGGAAACTTTAAAAATACATTTAATGATACACTCGGATATTTTTCCTTTCGAATGTGACACTTGTAAAGCAAAATTCAAATATAAACATAGTTTGAAAAAGCACATATCAATACACTCGGATTATCCTTTTAAATGTGACGCTTGCGGAGCAAAATTTGAAAAAAAAATCCTGTTACAGAGACACCAAATTTTTCACTCGGATATTTATCCTTTTGAATGTAACACTTGCAAAGCAAAATTTAAATGTAAAAGTAATTTGAATAGGCATGTATTAACACATTCTGATATTTATCCTTTTAAATGTAATACTTGCAAAGCAAAATTTAAATGTAAAAGTAATTTGAATAGGCATGTATTAACACATTCTGATATTTATCCTTTTAAATGTAACACTTGTGGAGCAAAATTTAAAGTAAAAAGCTATTTGAAAAATCACATATTAAGACACTCGGATGCGAAGAATGTTAAATGCAATGCGAAATTTAGAATCAGAGGTAATTTAAAACAAAAAAGTGACGCTTCCAGATAAGTGTAAATTTTTATGTAACTTTTGGTCTGCTAAATTTAAACATGAAACAATTTGAAGTGTTTATTGAGCATCCAAACATTGGATATGGATGAACGTTGATTTTAATGTAATATTTGCGAATGTAACATATACGGCTTTTCAAATGACGACTTGTGAAAAAATTACAGGCAATGAAGAGATTAACTGATTTTTGAAGTGAAAACTTCTTTATGTGCGTTCAGCACACTTTTCTGTAGCTACTTGGTAAATCTGAGTCGTCGCGCTTAGCTATGTAACGCTCATTCGGGTACAGTCGGCTCGAGTCAATTTCACCCAAGCGAGAGAGAGAGAAACAGTTATTCATTTTTATTTCAAGTAATTTTTGACAATAAAGGACTATTCACACACATCAGTTTCGTATCAGTGCTGCGTCAGTTCAGTATCAGTGCCATCCGTGCTTCAAAGTGGTAATAATTCACACACATCCGTCTGTAGTCCGTACCATGCTTTCAGTGAAATGTCAGAAATTCAGGGATCAAACGCAAATTCCAATCGATTTCCGTCAGTGAAATACACAAAATATCGTTGCCGACTTTAATAAAAAACACGCAACTGACACTGACACAGCACTGATCGTAAAAAACGTCACTGCGCCGGACTTGTCTAAACAGGTTCATTTGAGACTAGGCAACGATATTTTATTTTTCACTTTCACTGATACTGAACTGAAACGGCACTGATACGGAACTGATGTGTGTGAATAGTCCTTAATTAGTTTTATTTTAATAGGCGTGTAAACATAAATTAAAATCTGTTTTTTTTTTTAAAGATAATCCCCCAAGTCAAAAATTTTGTAACTATGTTGGCAACACAAGCCTTTTCTACATAAAAAATTTGAAAGCATTGACAATTTTACATTGTATTGCCAACATAATGTCAGTTTGACTTTTATCTTTAAAAAAAAAACACACTTTATGTATACTTTTGTGCATGTATTACCTAAACCAATGGTATTACCTATGTTAGCTTGCATGTATTTAATAGATTCTCAATAACGGGCAGTGTGTTTTATTTCCTTCACCGTATAGGTAGGTACAGTGAGAATCCTTGCTATTGGCACACACTTTATAAACATCCCCCGTAATGTGTTAAAATTTTACTTCTTTGACACACAGGTAATGTCAAAATCATGTCAGATTCATAAATCAGTGGTGAACATAATAGTTTCAATAAACTTTCGAAGGCAAAAATATTTGTTCGCTAAACTGGTTTACCATATGCTTAACAATCATGGAAAGGTAAGAGCTAATTGAGATAATAGCACAAGCTGAGAAACTTCGAGCAGTTGTCTCAGCCCTAGGTTCTGGCTATAGCATGATCATGAATTTAAAATGAGTTGACAGGGGTTAAAATATCACGTACACCACTGCACTAAATAAACTGCTTGTCAATTGCTTTCGAACGGAAGAAATATTTCGCTCAACTTGCAAGCTCAATATTTTTGGAACCAAAACATAAACGCCTAGTTTCCATATACATTTTTTTTCACAAAAAGTCACTCTGTTGGCCCGTGAAAACCGGAGGGCGATGTTTGGTCTGGTTGGGCTTGGAAGTTAGGGAAAAAATTTCTTCTGTTGTTGTTATAATTTTGATTTAATGCGAGGAATTTTTAAAGAGTATGTGCCAATTGCAATGATTCCCACTGTACGTTGAATAGGAAAAATAATAAGGTGAAGTTTATTTCACGAAGGCTTGTACTTATAACATCGATGATGTCATAACTTGAAAAAAAGGTTTGTCGCAGATTAATTCATGTATTTTTATTTACGCGTCTTTTGACAATCAAAAAAAAAAAACCCTCACCCTTCGGGTTCGGGATTTTTTTATGCGCATGAGTGTATACATGATTTTGTTAAAAAATTGGCCTTCAGACAAAATTTTCAAATATTTCCGGAAATATTTTATGCACTAGTTATATTATTACTAGAAATTATGTTGAAATTTTTTGTAATCAATTTTTTTAAAGAACCGCACCTCTCCTCTCTACTTATTAATTCTTTTGTTATTTTGTATCTTTCTCTAACACGTGGAAAGCGATTATTTTTCAATGAAAATTAACAACGCTGCAAAAAAATAAACTCCACCTCGAATTCCACCTTTTCACCAATCAGCGGCTTCTATTGAATTGTCATGTCGAAATTCGACCTGCAGGTATTTTATGAGTGTATCCGCATCTTTTTCTAAAATTATGTGAAATATAAGGATAAAGATACACTTTTGTAAATTGTAGCACTGATTCTGGTTTCATTTTCAGAGTTGCCAAGTATGCGATAGTAAAGTGGGGATGGAGTTAGCGGAAGCATTTGATACCCTACTCCTAGCCGCTTTCACAGCTCACCCCCGGCTCATAAACATGTAGTCTACCAAAACAAAGCTATTTTATCAATAAGATCTTCTGTCTATCTGTGTTAATAGGTCAATGGAACGGAGTCCCTACCCAGGCCTCCCTCCACGCCAAACGTCAACAGCGAACTGGGGAATCCCTGATATTTCCTCGGGGATTTATTTAGATCACGTTGCTGTTGAGTTCTCAAGTTTTGAAATTATATTGATCACTATGAATTATTCTGAAATTATGGCGAGTAACAATAGAGGTCAAGGAAGAAAATTAGATTTCAGTTGGGCAGACGTTGATAAAATTGAAACAGAGGGGAGGCTTAAAGCCGAATGTAAATATTGTAAGATTTTTATTAGCAGAAAAATTGAAAGAATAAAAGCACACTTGCAGAAATGTGCAGTGCTAACTAAAAAAAAGTGGCTGATGCAGCTGATGGAGACATCAATAAAATGAGTGAAATAGAAAGTTGTAGTAGTATAGTAGCAGCAGAAAAAAGTGCATCAACATCAACGAGTGTACGTAAAAGAAAAATACAGGCAGGTATGGTAGAATCATTATATAAATTTTTATTCAATTTCGAATTCATTTTATATTTCATATGAATAGTGGAAAGAAAAGTAGAAACACAAAATGAGGCCGTATAGGATGGTCCAAACGAACTTTATTTGGCCAAACTCCAAATGTCAATGTTAAAGTTTGTCAATTGCTTTGAAGTCTTTTCGTTTCACCGATTTTAATAAAACTTGAATGTTTGTTGAAAGTTGAACCACCCTGTACAAGTCATAAGAAGAAAAAGAAAGAAAAGCAATATACTGTATTAATTTTATGTAAATTGTTTTAAGTATTGAAAGCTTTGTTGTGCAGACTTCTGTAACTGAAAAGCAGAAATTGGAAATTCAAATAGCTATTTTTTTTTATGGCTGTAACATAGCATTCAATATATCTGATAACAAACTATTTAAAAACATGATCTGCGCACTGAGACCTGGATATGATCCACCTAACCGTAAGAAGTTATCAGGAGAGCTTTTAGATACGGTTTATGAGGAAATAGAAAACGACCTGAGAAGTGAGCTAAGTGCTGAAGACGCTAGCTTCACAATGATGCAGGATGGATGGCAAGTATTAGGAATGACCCTATAATTGCCACGAGTATTCATACTGGCGAACATAGTATATTGATTGATGCTGTGGAGCCTTCTGATGAAAAAAAGACTTCTTTGTATTGTTCTGGACTGGCTAAGAAATATATTGAATATATTAAAGAAACTTATAATTGCTATATGCACCGATAATGAGGCAAAAATAGTTGATATGAAAGATATTTTTAAGAAAACTTATCCAAAGGAGGAGGCACTTCTCTTATGGCAAATGGATCTCCGACAGATTTTCCCAAAATTTGGATATGCTGTAGTTTTTAAGGCTCTGATTACAAGCCATCATTGGCCGAACCTTGTGCGGTTGATAGTTTAGCCTCGAGAGGTCGTGAACGTTTCATATAACTTCTCACTGTAATATAACTTGGTATAATTATATTAATTTAGGATTTTTATGAATATGTGCTGTGTAAGATGTTTTGTCATTTTTGTTGAAGGCTCTAGAAAAACTGCTTGAGCTTCACATTCGGGGTGGTGCAGTGGATACCAGATCAATATATCCGAAGCAATATGCTTACAAAGCAATTGAAACAGCACTACATCACCTCGTCCAGCGGGTAGAAAGTACGTTGAAAAATAAGGAAGTGATGTTGGGAGCCTTGGACAACACTTCGTTCGAGGCAATCATGAGAGATGGAGAGACTGCATAGTTCGAGGTAGAGTCTTCCACTCTACGCTCCTGGGTAGAACAGTAACGGCTCGGGTTGCAAAGGGATGTCCGCAAGACGGCCTATTATTACCCCTGTTGTGGAATCTGGTGATGGATGGACGAGCTGATAGAGCTACTGAAGAGCAACCATCGGGTAGTGGGATATGCAGATGACTTGGTCATATATCCCATGAAAAATGCAACCATAGAGTTAGAGATCGCATGCAGCAGGCTCTAACAATGGTCTCTAGGTGGATAGAGACTGTAGGGTTGAAAATTAGTGCCACCAAATCGGCAATTGTCCCCTTTACCAAAAGAAGGAAAATGGAGGAACTTGGACCACTTTACCTTCAGGGAAACCCAGTAATACGATGTCGGACGAAGTTAAATATCTTAGGGTAAACATGGATTCGAAATTAACTTGGAACAACATCTGGACAAACTAATTAAAAGGTCAGAACTAGTACTTAAACTAGCCAGGAGAACTTTCGGAAAATCCTGGGGGCTGCGGTTGGACATGATAAACTGGCTATACACAACGATTGTGAAGCCAGCAATATCCTATCCGTCTTTGATACGGTGGACAAAGACACAACAAGACAGAGCCAGAATGAGACTTCGCAGGGTGCAAAGACTTGCCTGTTTGCGTATTACAGGGCGCATGAAAAGCACACCAACAGCAGCTATGGAAGTCCTACTAGACCTACCTCCGCTACACATTGTGATTCAGGCGAAAGCCAGGATGAGCCTCCATAAACAACGAAACAACCTGAGCAAACTAACAGTCAGACAGGCCACACACAAATAAGGGAAGTCATAAATCTGACAGTATTCGACATGATAACTGACTATGCACTTCTCAAATACTTTCCCATGCAATACTTATCCGACATATTCTTCCAAGTCCTAATTAATGAAAGGGAGGAATGGAAAAACTAACATGCACTCTTCAATATCAAAGGCCAGATCTGGTACTCAGACGGGTCAAAGACTGAGAATGGCACAGGCGCAGGATTCTACAGTCGAGAAGGAAGATGCGAGACCTTCTTCTCTCTAGGGTCACATATATCTGTTCTCCAGGCAGAGGTATCTGCAATACTATAATTCGCAAGGATCAACAATATGAAGGCCTGCAAAGACAGAAGACTAACTTTACTCACAGACAGTCAGGCAGCGCTGGAGGCAAGAACCCCGAAGCAAACTCTGCACTGGTAATAGAATGCCGAGAACTCAACAACTTGGCGTACCAAAATAACGTCACATTGATGTGGGTGCCAGGACATAGAGGTATCCCGGGCAACGAAAAGGCTGACGAACTTGCACGCAGGGGGTCATCTACAGAATACCTTGGTATACCGAACCAGCTCTCAGAGTGCCCTAAAGCACATTAAGAAAGGAGCTGAAGGGATAGATCACAGCAAAACATGCTCAATACTGGAAGCCAAGCATGTACATGGGAAAACGTTCATACGTGATACATGCAGCAAAAGAGTAAAAAGACTGCTACAACTAAAGAGGAATCAACTCGGAGTAGTAACAGGCTTTTTTAATGGGCATGCCCCAGTAAAGAAGCACCTGCAAACAGAGAAGATGAACTAGATCCAGACACATACCGCAAACATCAACAGACCTACTTCGCCTACTGCAGGGATTCAGGGTTTTGAAATAGGTGCAATAAACAGAAAGATTCAGCAAAATAAGCCTCTGGCTGTAGCGCTACTCGGAGTTTAATCAGAACCGGTGTGAAGTTAGCAGCCAAAACTTGGCAGCCAATTTGGCGGAAACGCCCGAACGACCAGTGGCGTAACATTGTTTTTTAATGCAAAATAAATTCAATAAATCATACTTAGACATCAAGTCTAGCTATGAAATTGATAGAGTACTATTTTAATATCATCTCCAATCCCCATTCGAAATCCCATTAACTCAAACCCCGTCGAAATATGAAAAACTACCCTTAACAAGTAAAAATGCCTAAATATTCAGATTTTCGTATTTTTTCCCAACTCGGACGTCGAGTCTTGCCATGAAATTAATAGGGTACTCTTTTACCACCATATCCAACCCCCATGCGAAATCCCATCAACTCAAACCCCGTCGAAATATGAAAAACTACCCTTAACAAGTGAAAATGCATAAATATTCAGATTTTCGTATTTTTCTCCAACTCGGACTTCGAGTCTTGCCATAAAATTAATAGGGTACTCTTTCAGCACCATATCCAACCCCCATGCGAAATCTCATCAACTCAAACCCCGTCGAAATATGAAAAACTACCCTTAACAAGTGAAAATGCATAAATATTCAGATTTTCGTATTTTTCTCCAACTCGGACTTCGAGTCTTGCCATGAAATTAATAGGGTACTCTTTCAGCACCATATCCAACCCCCATGCGAAATCCCATCAACTCAAACTCCGTCGAAATATGAAAAACTACCCTTAACAAGTAAAAATGCATAAATGTTCAGATTTTTGTATTTTTTTCCAACTCGGACGTCGAGTCTTGCCATGAAATTAATAGAGTACTCTTTTAGCACCATATCCAACCCCCATGCGAAATCCCATCAACTCAAACCCCGTCGAAATATGAAAAACTACCCTTAACAAGTAAAAATGCATAAATATTCAGATTTTCGTATTTTTTCCCAACTCGGACGTCGAGTCTTGCCATGAAATTAATAGGGTACTCTTTCAGCACCATATGCAAACCCCATGCGAAATCTCATCAACTCAAACCCCGTCGAAATATGAAAAACTACCCTTAACAAGTAAAAATGCATAAATATTCAGATTTTCGTATTTTTTTCCAACTCGGACGTCGAGCCTTGCCATGAAATAAATAGGGTACTCTTTCAGCACCATATCCAACCCCCATGCGAAATCCCATCAACTCAAACCCCGTCGAAATATGAAAAACTACCCTTAACAAGTGAAAATGCATAAATATTCAGATTTTCGTATTTTTCTCCAACTCGGACTTCGAGTCTTGCCATAAAATTAATAGGGTACTCTTTCAGCACCATATCCAACCCCCATGCGAAATCTCATCAACTCAAACCCCGTCGAAATATGAAAAACTACCCTTAACAAGTGAAAATGCATAAATATTCAGATTTTCGTATTTTTCTCCAACTCGGACTTCGAGTCTTGCCATAAAATTAATAGGGTACTCTTTCAGCACCATATCCAACCCCCATGCGGAATCCCATCAACTCAAACTCCGTCGAAATATGAAAAACTACCCTTAACAAGTAAAAATTAATAAATATTCAGATTTTCGTATATTTTTCCAACTCGGACGTCGAGTCTTGCCATGAAATTAATAGGGTACTCTTTTACCACCATATCCAACCCCCATGCGAAATCCCATCAACTCAAACCCCGTCGAAATATGAAAAACTACCCTTAACAAGTAAAAATGCATAAATATTCAGATTTTCGTTTATTTTTCCAACTCGGACGTCGAGTCTTGCCATGGAATTAATAGGGTACTCTTTCAGCACCATATCCAACCCCCATGCGAAATCTCATCAACTCAAACCCCGTCGAAATATGAAAAACTACCCTTAACAAGTAAAAATGCATAAATATTCAGATTTTCGTATTTTTTTCCAACTCGGACGTCGAGCCTTGCCATGAAATTAATAGGGTACTCTTTCAGCACCATATCCAACCCCCATGCGAAATCCCATCAACTCAAACTCCGTCGAAATATGAAAAACTACCCTTAACAAGTAAAAATGCATAAATGTTCAGATTTTTGTATTTTTTTCCAACTCGGACGTCGAGTCTTGCCATGAAATTAATAGAGTACTCTTTTAGCACCATATCCAACCCCCATGCGAAATCCCATCAACTCAAACCCCGTCGAAATATGAAAAACTACCCTTAACAAGTAAAAATGCATAAATATTCAGATTTTCGTATATTTTTCCAACTCGGACGTCGAGTCTTGCCATGAAATTAATAGGGTACTCTCTCAGCACCATATCCAACCCCCATGCGAAATCCCATCAACTCAAACCCCGTCGAAATATGAAAAACTACCCTTAACAAGTGAAAATGCATAAATATTCAGATTTTCATATTTTTTTCCAACTCGGACTTCGAGTCTTGCCATAAAATTAATAGGGTACTCTTTCAGCACCATATCCAACCCCCATGCAAAATCCCATCAACTCAAACCCCGTCGAAATATGAAAAACTACCCTTAACAAGTAAAAATGCATAAATATTCAGATTTTCGTATTTTTTTCCAACTCGGACGTCGAGTCTTGCCATGAAATAATTAGGGTACTCTTTCAACACTATATCC